ATGTGACATCTTGTGCTGAACTAGCAGTGAGACTCCGGGCACATCACGGGATGAGGAGGCCACGATAGATTTGGGAGTTGTCTCTTGTTATGTAGATTGTGTTAAAAATTAAGCTAATGGAATGATACACATTCGGCTAATGGAATGATACACATTCGGCTAATGGAATGATACACATTCGGCAACTCACGGTAGTATGCATTAACCATTGCGTTGGCTTTACCAAGGTCGGTAACAATTTCATGAGCGAAATTATGCTGATGTGAAGCTTGCGCACTATCTAAAAAACAACATGGCTTGAAAACGACTGGAAGTGAATCTGGTGAAGTCCAAACATTTTAGTCGAACAAAGCGGTGAATTTGTAGTGAATTTTCGGACAGCGATTTACGGGCTCGACGGTAATGGTTAACGTGTTGCAATGCGCACAGCAAGTGGGCTGCGCGCCTGCATAATCGCCAATAATAATAATGGCCAAATCTATCGGTTTTGGTCACAAGAGTATGCGGGATCAGTTTGGAAAGGGATGGACATTGCTTAGTATTTTTACATTAACCAACGTTTAACCAACGTTTTTCAAAAGATTACTTTCACACTTATGAGTAGCGTAGTTTTCAGACCAAGCAGTGAGCTGCTTCTGGGACATTCAGACTAGACCCAATTTCAACAAATTTCTTCACCTTTTCCGCACGCTGGAAATTTTGTCCTTTTTCAAATTAACCGACTAGCGAAGCAAAATCGTATGATGTTGCAACATGTATCCAGAAATAGCTCGTCTGATGAAATAGCTTGCATGTGGGCACTTAGGAATACAGAGTATAAATCCACAGAGTTGCGCTTTCATGTTGCACAAACCTGCATGAACCTGCACTTAGCGGCTACAAGGATATTAGTTCTCGAGAGCGTGATGGCAGAACCGAATTGTGCTGGAACGTCATGTCAAGTTGAAAATGTTCTCATGATTGGCTTACTGAGTCCGCCGCGTCGCTCGCAATAATGGCCTTAAACGGTATGTTCCACATTTGAAGATGCTGAGATTAGCATTAACTACAATGAAATAAAGTCACTCATAACTGTTGGTGTAATTTGAAGTGGAAAGGACCGTTCTAGACAACACAATTTCTCTGTTTAATAAACATCCTCCTCAATACGTCATTGCTTGCGTCATCGTACTTTGCACAACATTGATTGAGAGCCAATTGATTGCCGCTATATCTGGAAATCGTGCTCAGACGTATCGGACGTTAACGACTCGACTCAAAGAGCACATTTGTCTTGGCCTAGATTGCCACATGACCAGTAGAATGGCAGGATTTGAATAACGTCATGATGAAGTCATGGGTGCATGGGTGATTTGAAATTATCTCCTAGAAATGCTCCACACATTTCCGTGGGCGTGCAGCTCCGTTACTAGAGGGGCTTAGATCTTGAGGAAGGCAAGGCTGTGAACTGCACCAAATTATATTTCAAGATGGATATTTCAGTTTAAAACTCCCTTGCAAATGTGGAGCACCCACTTCACGCGGGTTTTCCCCAGTGACTGTTGCCTCTGTGACCTTGCGGTGAATCGCTAACGTCTGATGTGCTGCAGCATTTGCCATGGCAATTTCTTCCTTCGAACCCTGTGATTCAGAGGAAATGTGCTGGTTGAATTTCCCAACAACCTCCACGCATGCTTACGTCACCTGCAGGCAATAGCATCACGCCTGCATGTACCTTACGAGCAGGATCAGACGGTACGTGTGTTTCTTGAACTAAGCAATGGCCACAGCACGAGCAGATACCTTTCACTGGTAATTTGTGTATCGACCACAGCCAACGTAATTGGCGTTGGGCACCAGGGCGTTGGGTAAGCTAGCCCTGAAATAGTGTGGATGACGTCCGTAATGACTCTACTCGGAAGAGCCAACTTACCTCTTGGGACCAAATTGGTTGGCGAGACATTGAAAGCGTCGTTAGAGGTCTGCTAAACAGTGCGACGAAGCGAGAAGGAACACTTACTTCATGAAGTGGGGGATGGCACATTGAAAAAGGGGTGAGAGAGAGAGAGAGAGAGAGAGAGAGAGAGAGAGAGAGAGAGAGAGAGAGAGAGAGAGAGAGAGAGAGAGAGAGAGAGAGAGAGAGAGAGAGAGAGAGAGAGAGAGAGAGAGAGAGAGAGAGAGCGAGGAGAGAGAGAGAGAGAGAGAGAGAGAGAGAGAGGAGAGAGGAGAGAAAGAGAGAGAGAAGAGAGAGAGAGAGAGACTTATGAGGGAATAAAGTGAACGTGGCAAGGGGGCTCCAAGCATGGGAGCGGTTAGTATTTACAAACACACCTAGTTCAACTGAACCCGGAAACAACTTAAACACGGAAATTGGTGCGATAGCGTAAAACAACTGCAGTGAGAAAGGATGATCGCCGATGGTGAGAGCTTTGTGCCTGGCTGGGTGTTTTGTGTTGGTGGTGAATCACATGCTCATGAATTCCTTAATGAATCACATACAATGCAACACATATAAGTGGCTCGTTTATTCAGTCAAAACATGAACATCATTATTTCAAAAACTGTGTATGTTACAGCGAGGACGCACATGGCGCTGCATAGCGCTTGAGGGACCGCATCAAGCTCATTATTTGTGTTGAAATGTATGTCAAGCCAGGCCACAAAACATAAAACCTCGCTGCATGGCCGTTTTTATTTGATACGTTTGACCTATCTTCACCTGGAATAACCTAAAATAGCAGGTTTTAAGAAAGCGCATCATACAATGGTGAGATAGAGCAAAGCAATGCCGAGCACATTAAAAATGCTGAGCACTGCCCTTCAGACAGCATATTCCACGTCACGCAAGCACAACTGGGTGCTTTCAGGCGAAATGACACCGACATGACCTCACCAAACGGATCAGTACACATAAGCTATCACAAGTTGCATCTTCTAATCATCATAGAAGTTGCCCAAATGCTGAAAACCCTACAATTAGAAACAGCATCACGCATTTGGGTGTTCAAACGCGATTACCGACAATAGCTGTAGGCCTGTGAAGCCCCGCAGCACCAGAGTTAACTCGGTGTCAGGGAAGCGCACCAGTGTAACACAGCTCTCGGGCGTCCTGTATCAGGGGAAGCGCACCAGTCTACACAGCTCACGGGCTTTCTGTGCCAGAGGAAGCGTGCCAGTCCATATAGCTCAAAGGCGTTCTGTATCACCGGCAGCGTATCGGTCTGCACAGCTCACGCGCGTTCTGTGTCTGGGTGAGGCAGCGCGCACGTCAGCTGGGAGTCTCAAACGACATGTGCGCTCGCCACGCATAGCGCTGCGCCATTTTTTCTTGTTGGTGGCGTTTCTTCCGTGTTTCATGCGAGTGGTTGTGAAAGGAACAATATCAACCCTTATATTGACTGGAGTTACGCATCCGAACGTGCATCTTATTCGGATTTTAAGCCCAATTTTTGTTTCGAATTGGTCCACAAGACCTAATTTGTACCACAGTAATCAACGGCAATTGCACCATGCTTTCCTCGGATCTCTTGGTCATTAGCACCAACCAGTCCATTTTCCTTAATAAGTGACTGATTGCGCTCCCATCCTCACGCGGCCTCAAAAGATGTTGTTTGGACTCTGCATACGTGTGCAGGACAGGAATTTCACACCTTCGGGTGCGAGCTACTTTACTGTCACCACGTGTTACTCCTTTTGCAAGCATATGGCTAGGGCAGCTAACAAAAAGATAGACAAGCTTGACTGTGAAGTTGCAATGAAGTCCAGCTGCTGCCACTGAGAGGCTTATAATGCAACAGCTGCCCCCGGACGGGCCGCAGAGTGACCGGACATGGCAGGACGTGATGCAGGACGGGAAGTGATGCAGAGTGGCTTGTGGGCCGGAACGGGACGAAGAAATGAAATGGAACAGAATAAGGCGGAAAGAAACAAAAGGAACGGGAGGAGCGGAACGGATGGAGTATAATGGAACGGAACGCCATAGAACACGACGGGATGAAAAGGAACTGGGTGACAGAGGAATGGGGCGGAACGGACTTCGATGACGGCGACACGAAACAGAACGACCGAGCAGCTGCGCATTACCCGGGACGACGTGACAGGACACGAGACGACACGGGACGGCACGGGACGGCGTGAGACGACACGGGACGGCACGGGACGGCGTGAGACGACACGGGACGGCGTGAGACGACACGGGACGACACGGGACGGCACGGGACGGCGTGAGACGACACGGGACGGCACGGGACGGCGTGAGACGACACGGGACGGCACGGGACGGCGTGAGACGACACGGGACGGCGTGAGACGACACGGGACGGCGTGAGACGACACGGGACGGCACGGGACGGCGTGAGACGACACGGGACGGCGTGAGACGACACGGGACGGCACGGGACGGCGTGAGACGACACGAGACGGCACGGGACGGCGTGAGAGGACACAGGACGACACGGGACGAGACACGGGACGACGTGAGACGACACAGAACGACACGGGACGGCACGGGACGGCACGGGACGGCGTGAAAGAACACGGGACGACGCGGGACGGGACACAGCACGATACGGGACGGGACACGGGACGGTATGAGACGACGCGGGACGGCACGAGGTGAACACGGTACGGGACACAGGACGACCCGGGACGGTGTGAGACGACATGGGACGACACAGGACGGGACACGGGACGACACGTGAGGATATAGGACGGGACACGGGCCGACACGAGACGGTGCTGAGACGACACGGGACGGGACACGCGACGATACGGAACAGAACAGGGGACGGCACGGGACGGGCCACGGCCTGTCCGATGTGAGGGCGCGGTCTGCCTGGGGCGCTCCCACGGCCCTCCCGGCCACAATCACCATCGGCTGATCCGCTTGTGTCAACGGAAATTGGCCGTGGCCGCGGACGCAAGGTCTCCTCGCCCGCGGCCGCGCCGGACACGATGACCACGTGACGTCACAAGGGTCATTACTGGCCGATCGGGTGGTATAAAGTGTGTGCGTGGGTGGAGGGCGTCACTGTTCACCGGCTTTCGCTCTCCACAACAGTTCCACCTGAGGACACCATGGTATTCAAGGTAAGAGGAGGGCGTTAGCAAGATATACGCGATCTAACCGTTCAAAGCGGTATCTTGACATGGAAACCTAAAGGCCACCCCCCATAAAACACCGAAAGCTGAAATTTTGAAGCTGTTTTTCCTTGCAGCGCTAAAGGTCCAGAATATTTGTTCTACCTAAATATTCCATTTGGGTCAAATGCGTAAAATGTTGTTTTGTGCTGCTCTGATTCACTCAGTATTCTTATTTTGGCCAGGAGTTTTCTCTGTAGGTTGCAATTATTCTGTGGATGTGTTGCCTTTGCCAGTATGGCATGTGAGCACGCATAAGTGTGGTATTTCTTATAATGAAAATGCTGTTCTGGCCTTACCATCCATATGTCCATGATGTCCACTTCGTCACGCTCGAAAACAAAGCATGAAGTGTAAATCGTTCAGCCATTTTGGAATGATTTTTTTTTTTGGAACACAACAAAATAGTTAAGGACTTAAAACTGATCGATAATCGCAGAGACCGCACCAAAGCCATGGACTAAGGCGTATCACTTTTGGTCTATGAATACCCCCGGCCACAGGTGTAACCGAACGAGGGACAGCACTGTCCGCAATACGGCTAGGTATCTTGCCGACTGCAACGTTAGGGTACAGCCGAGACAGGTTAACTGCCGCCCACTATCCCATGCCTTGCCACTGCGTTTCTTTCCTGGCTTCCAAGAAGTCCGCATGTGTTGACCGATTTACAACCGATCCGTACCACGCCACGGAACGAGGCGATCCACGGTTACCACAGCCCCAGTCTGGCCGACAACGGCCCACAGTGCTGCGGTGAAGGCCTGCAGAGTTCCGGTGTCGCTGACCTGTTGTCTGCTTCAGGTTGTGATCACCCTGGCGCTCGTGGGCACGGCGCTTTCCGTCGACCCGTACCAGCCGGAGCCCGCTTACAAGCCGGAGCCCGCTTACCCAGAGGTAAGCTCGATCGCTAGGTGGATCGCTCGACCCTGACAGTTGGAATGAAGACAGTTCACTATGATGTCATATCTAGCCTTGGCATTGCTGAGTTTTAAGTTATGCGGCATCAGCGTCAGACGCCAGGCCGGCCACAGCTTCCGAAGACGACTGAGGGATACCTGTTCGCACCGTATGCGTGGAAACTGTTAACTGTCACTCCAGCATCACTTCCTTGTGTGCCACATCAACTCAGCGGTTACTGTGTGCGTGTGGTTCACAAGGAAACTCTGTTTACTAAAACTCGTCTATCCATGTAAACTCCAGTTATCCCGCACACCGATCAAGTAATCACTCATCGCCCGGCAGTTCTCGCCCAGCCGGCGACGTAGCCGCACATTTTCGCATAGCCCTGCCGCTGATGCCCTCCCTCCCCGTGTCACAGTTCCAGCACAACTCCGCCGCTAACACCCCCTCCTCTTGTCACAGCTCCAGCACAACTCCACCGCTAATACCCCCTCCTCGTGTCACAGCTCCAGTACAATTCCGCCGCTAACACCCCCTCACCGTGTCACAGCTCCAGTACAATTCCGCCGCTAACACCCCCTCACCGTGTCACGGTTCCAGCACAACTCCGCCGCTAATACCCTCTCACCGTGTCACAGCTCCAGCACAACTCCGCTGCTAACACCCCCTCCCCATGTCACAGCTCCAGCACAACTCCGCCGCTAACATCCCCCTCCTCGTGTCACAGTTCCAACACAACTCCACCGCTAATACCCCCCTCCTCGTGTCACAGCTCCAGCACAATTCCACCGATAACACCCCCTCCCCGTGTCACAGCTCCAGCACAATTCCGCCGCTAACACCCCCCCCCCCCCCCCACCGTGTCACAGTTCCAGCACAACTCCGCCGCTGATAGCCCCCTCCCCCTGTCACGGTTCCAGCACAACTCCGCCGCTAATACCCCCTCACCGTGTCACAGCTCCAGCACAACTCCGCTGCTAACACCCCCTCCCATGTCACAGCTCCAGCACAACTCCGCCGCTAACATCCCCCTCCTCGTGTCACAGTTCCAACACAACTCTGCCGCTTACCCCCCCCCCCCCCCTCCTCGTGTCACAGTTCCAACACAATTCCCTCGCTAACACCCCCCTCCCCGTGTCACAGTTCCAGCACAACTCCGCCGCTGATGCCCTCCCTCCCCGTGTCACAGTTCCAGCACAACTCCGCCGCTAACACCCCCTCCTCTTGTCACAGTCCCAGCACAACTCCTTCGCTAATACCCCCTCACCGTGTCACAGTTCCAGCACAACTCCGCCGCCAACACCCCCCTACTCGTGTCACAGTTCCAGCACAGCCCCGCCGCTGACGCCCTCCCCCCCCCCCCCTCCGTGTTGCAGACACCGGCCAAGTACGCCTTCGACTACGCCGTGGCCGACGAGTACTCTGGGTCGGACTTCGCTGCCGACGAGACGCGTGACGGAGCGAGCACGACCGGCTCGTACCGCGTCGCCCTGCCCGACGGCCGCGTCCAGACCGTCACCTACAAGGTGGACGGCGACTCTGGCTTCGTGGCCGAGGTCACGTACGAGGGCGAGGCCCAGTACCCCGAGACGACGCATCAGGCGCCGACCTACAAGCCTGCCCCCGCGCCCTACAAGCCCGCCCCCGCACCCTACAAGCCCACCCCAGCGCCCTACAAGCCCACCCCCGCGCCGTACAAGCCGGCCCCCGCGCCCTACAACCCCGCTCCTGTGGCGCCGCAGTACCCGCAGTACCCCGCGCCGTACCGGCCCGCCTACTACAAGCCTAAGTACGCACCGGCATCAGCCGCGCCGGCCACAACCGCGGCGGCAGCGCAGGCCACGGAGGCCGCTCCGGCCGCCGCTAAAGCTGCCCCCGCCGCCGCCGAGGCCTGAGCGCGCCTCTGCTCCCAGGCGGCTGCGGTCTGCTCGGCCTCCGGGCCGTGTGATCACGAGCAGTCCGGTATATGATTACCGTGAGTCTGTTTGTCCGCGTGCCAGTATTTATTGACAGTCCGTGAGAACAAATATAACATAACAGCTGAATCCGCCGGCATTTTGAGTGGGAATTCCTTTGGCTCACGCTGCACGCGGGAGTGCTGCGTGGTGAGGGTTACGGGTGTGGTCACGTGATCTCAGCGTTCCAGAGTCACGTGATGCCACACTATTGCGATATCGTATGACTTTGTTTAAATAGCTGTGTCCGTGTTTAATACTGTGTCTAAATAAGACCCCGCATTGCACAAGCACACATGATTACACAGGCTCGAAACACGGTCCACCCCACTGAAATCGCCCATATTTCTAATTACAACACGTGGCGTTGCCGACACTCCCGAGTTAACCCTCCGGTGCCAGAACGCCGCGTGACTTCTGGACTTTCGGACGCCTTTCAATCTAGGTGAGAGCACGAGCAGCGGAAGAGCAACTTACACAACTAGAGAAGTTGCACGCCGGTCAGAGCGCTCCGAACGCCCGGGGTCATCGCTGCTGAGGCATCTGAAGGAGGAGCGGTGCACCGGCTGGCTCTTTCTGAGGCTGCCTTGTCTAAAAACCGCTCGCATGCCCCTTTCGTGTTGCAGGCGATGTACTGCCGCTACAGGATTCGTCAATCCTTAAAAGACAGTATGCACGTATTGGCTGAGATGCTGAAGTTCGAGATTATCAGTCGTTGAACTAGTGTCGCTGCGAACAGCGATTAATCTATTGTTCGGTAGAGCAAATACCCAGATGTCTCTTACGCGAACTCCACATCGTATTCAGCTGCTCAAAATACATTGACAAATACACCGTGAATCTGCAGTCAGATGAAATCGCTTAGGGCTTTTACACTAGTAAACGCTTTCAAATCAGCCCTGCCGTGTGGGGTGAAACATAATTAAATCAGCCCAATTGATCAACAGTCAGATCTACACCCGAGCTTTAGAGCGAGCTCGAGACTCACGTTTATGGGGAGGCTGGCCTTATGCGTTTATTTCGCGTCTAGACCACATTATAGACTAAGTTTTGCCATTTGCAGGAAATGAGCACCCCTGTACCCACCACCAAGGAACGCAAGGACCAGCTTCGCCTGGCACCATTAGCCTGTGAAAAGCGCTTCGCGGTCACAGCTGTTGGTACCTGGTGTGTTTATGAAATGTGTTTAAACGCTGGATATACTAGCAACAATACCAGTCACTGCCCTAGGCAGGTGTGCTCCAATACGATGTTCAAATACATCCTGTATCAGGTTTCCAGACGGCTATGTTAAGTTTTAGTTATTGTGTTTTTATTTACTAATTAGGGTTTTCATTATGCTTTCCCAAAGTGCTACGGTTATGGTTCTCAGAGTGTTACGGGGCACTTATACGAATTGAAAAGCTGCTCCCAGAGTGCTACAGCTATGCTTCTCAGAGTGCTACAGGGCACTTGCACGAATGGAAGAGACTTCCGAGCTCTTCTTTTCGGCGGTGGTGTTATTGTGCGTACTGCAAACAACGCATCTGTCGGGAAACCGTCCCAGTATTTGTTGCATGTGTACGTTCGATCAAAGCAAGATCGCGTTTCATCATGCATAGCTGGTAGCTGCAACCACACTCTCCGTGCACCCTCGCATGCAGAACTATAATCAGTATTCTTGATTTTGCTCAACGTCATGGTTTTAGTAAATAACGGCATGCTGCTAAAAAAAAAAACAGTAGCAGCTGCATGTATAGGGACAGCAAAATAGACCCCTGCTTCTTTCCTGAAGCTGTTTATTCAATAACAACGGAATAGCGAGTACGCACGCATTATACCAACTGCAAAACCGAATGCGTGCTGATCGTTTCGCGGTAAGCCCCTACGCAGTGACAAAAGGTACATTGTTGCACTACCACGCACATAATTATGACAACGGCTCATGACGAGTAACTTAAACACGCTCGGTTCACATCGCTCAACAAGTGGTATCATATCGAATAAACAAGTTCTGAATTAAATGGGACTCATCTATCGTATTTTTGATTTCCTAACATCAAACACACCTAATTTCTCAACGCACAAATCAATTCAGCCATATGGGAAAATGTGAGAACATAAGCCAACTCACCGCCATATTTCGCACAAAATAATCGGGCAGAGCTTCATCAAACATCGGCTCCGTTCGGCCGCACCGTACGGGACGCAGCCAGAATACGCACTGCAGTTTTGATGGCCGAGCCGAGCGTGACACCATGGCGACAATGAGACAGCAGACTGCAGCCGCATCGCCTGTGTGCACAATGTTGGTGCGACAGCATCTTCACGCGGCTGCCTTTGCAGTAGCCGTGCGAGACTCGTCTTTTCGGACACGTGATCCGAGGTCAAGACCTTTGTCACCGGACGCCGACACAGCGCGTACATGCTAGCCAAGACGCCAGCACACAGCGCGTACATCCCAGCCAAGACGCCGACACACAGCGCGCACATGTCCGCCCGTGTCGCCTGTCTTCCGGCGTTCGGTACGAGGCGACACCCAGAGACTGGGGTCGGGGAAGGGGCTGATTTGGGATGCTATCCCATGACGGTCACATCTCGGAGTTCAAAGGTCATGAGCCGGATCGCGACGGACGGAACGGAAATGCCTGGAGAGGCAAAGGATGTGAAGGGCTCTGGTTATAGAAACACGTGGTTTTTACTTCACACCGCCTCCTTTACGCTTACCTCATCGCCACCACTTATTTCCGTGTTCACACACTTCCCCTGTTAACGACAAGCCAAACTTTCCAAAGCCCCTGATTTCGCTGACGAGACGCGCTCATCCCGTCCACCAGTCCTCAGGATTGGACTCACGGCTAGTAACGAGGCGGCGCTCTAGGCCCCGCCCTGCGGCCAGTCTTCTGCTGCCCGAGGGGCTCAGGCTCCGGTTGGAAGTCAGGCTGCGGACCCGCTTGGTAATCAGACTGCGGCTGTGGCAGAGACTGGGGGCCAGGCTGAAAACCAGACTGAGGTTCAGCTTGGTAAACAGCTTGCGGTGGCGTCAGAAAATCACGATGAGGCCTCAGACCAGACTGTGGCAGCGAAGGAGGTTCCGACTGAAATCCAGACAGAGGCTCAGCTTGGTAACCCGCCTGTGGCTGCGGCGGGGTCTGGGGCTCAGGCTGGAACCCAGGCTGAGGCCCAGCTTGGTACCCCGCCTGTGGCTGCGGCGGGGCTTGAGGCCCAGACCGGTACCCAGGCTGAGACCCAGCCTGGTAGTTCGCCTGCGGCTCTGGCAGCGGCTGAGGCTCAGACCCGAAGGTTGGCCGAGGCAGTGTGGGACCGCCTTGAGAGCTGCCAATCGGCTGGTAGATCACCGGACGCCGTGACAAAGGTCCGGCGGCAGGACCACCCTGGTAGCCCGGGTCTCTTCCGCCCTGCGGGTGCTGGGCCTCTCCCTCGTACTGGACATCAGCGATGAAGCCGCTCTGGCCGTTCACGCGGTAGTTGACAGTCTGCCTCCTGGTGTCTGGTAGCTGGACGTAGTAGGTGCCTTCCACCTGGGGCCCGTCTCTGGCCTCTCTGTGGCCGTAGTCGTTGCCGAAGATATCTCTCACGCCCCACTGGAAGTTGTATCTCGCAGGACCCTGCCGAACACACCCGGGCTTCACTTAAGTGGCGCAAAGAGAGACCGCCCTAATTTCCGGGGGTCGAAAATATGAGATTGAATTTGACCAAGGATAGATTTATCGCCTCTCGTCGTCATTCTCACAAACATGCGTCGTCACACCGACAACGGTAGACTCACCTCACCGTAAGCAGCACCGCCGCCGACTCCTGTTCCCAAGCTGAGCAGCCCAGCCTGCGGACCCGGATAGCTCGGCTCCACCTGCCGTCCAGGGCCAGCCGGGGGAGGCCGGTCCCCGTAGCCCTGGTCGATCTGGGGACCAGGGCCGGGAAGTGTTCCGCCTCGCGCGCCGGGGGGAGGCGAGGGCCTGGTCTGCTGCTGGGGGACAGGACCACCGCTGGGCGGTGGGTAGGAGACGGGACCGGCCTGTGACGGGAACTCAAGCTGAGGTTCGGGCGCTGACGCGTGACCCGGGGGCGGGCCGGGAACTGACGGGAAGCTGAGCTGAGGCTCGGGAGTGGCGCTGTGAGGCTCGGGAGTGGCGCTGTAGCTGGGCTGGGGAGCAATGGTGACACCAGGGGGGCCAAAACCTGCCTGCTGACCAGGCGAAGAGTTGAGGCCGGGCAAAGGGCCGGGTGTCGAGCCATACGCTACTTCCGGATTGGCAGATGTGTCAAATGTCGGCTGCGGGGAGTCCAGCGCCTGCTGGGGGAAGATGGGTGGTTTATATCCCTGCTGAGAGGGAAGAGGAGAGTCATACCCCTGCTGCGGAAGGGAAGGTGAGGTGAACCTCTGTTGCGTGGTGGGAGGAACATCAAATACCTGCTGGGGAGCGGGCGAAAACCCATGTGGCTGCTCTGGGAATGGAGATGAGTCATACCCTTGCTGTTGACGAGGGAAAGAATCAAGCCCTTGCAGCGGGACGGGGAGAGATTCAAATCTCGGCTGTGGGGTGGGATTGACACCATAGCCCTGCTGGGGCAGATCAGGGGGGCCAAGTGGCTGTTGTGGGCCACGGCCGGACTCGAGCTGCTGTTGTGGGGTGGGGAGCGGATTATACCCCGGCTGTCGGGGAGGAGGGATGTCATTTTCCCGCTGGGTGAAAGCAGGGGAGCCGTATCCCTGCTGCGGGATTGGAGGGGAGTCGTATCCCTGCTGCGGGGTCGGAGGGGAGTCGTATGCCTGCTGCGGGGTCGGAGGGGAGCCGTATCCCTGCTGCGGGGTCGGAGGGGAGCCGTATGCCTGCTGCGGGATTGGAGGGGAGTCGTATGCCTGCTGCGGAGTCGGAGGGGAGTCGTATGCCTGCTGCGGAGTCGGAGGGGAGTCGTATGCCTGCTGCGGGGTCGGAGGGGAATCAAAACCTTGCCGCGGGACCGGAAGTGGGTCATATCCTTGCTGCGGTATCGGCCCGTCCTCGAGCCTCTGCGGTCGCCGCGAGCCCGGCACGATGTCGCCAAACGCCGGCCCGTCCTTGGCTCCGATCGGGAGGGGC